AACGCCGAAGGTGCACGGAACGCTGTTACCTTCCCACCAAAGGTGGTCCCTATTTTTCCACTTGCATTTTTACATGCTTTCGAACTGCTAGATCGGCAGAAGCTGGGAGTTCATTCCGTTACGCAGAGCTAGGGATTCGAACCGCCCAACTGCAGACCTTTCTGATCGACAAGCTCAGCGTCTTAGGCACTGAGCCACTGAGCCACCGCCGTCCCTTGACTTTTAGACTAGACATACCTCATTTCTGCCCTTGTTCTTCCTACGGTTTAGCCTCTCATCATCTTTGGTGCCCTTCTTTGCACTCTTTCTAGAGTCTCAACATCTTTTTTTACCTCCTGGAGAAGCTGGACTCACTTAGCAACCATGTTACAAACCCATGTTCACTTAACAACTGCAGCAAAAATGGCCGTAAAACGGTGCAAAATTAACAAATGTTTCACTTGGCCACAGAAATACTGGGCTCAACCGTGGTCGCAACCTGTACTTATGTGTCAGGAGCAAGGCTGAGCTGCAAGCCAATTTTCCATGATGAAGGTAACCTGACATGCCACATTTCCATGATTGGCATTCAGCCCAATGACTCACCTACCGTTTGGTAGATAAGAGCCCAGGTTCACACACTTGCCAGCTCAGCAAACCCTCAACTTTCTCCCTTTATGTTCCCTAGTTGCAAAGATTTTCCCTTTCCCTCCTAACCTCTCTTTTTACTTCCTGCTTAGTGCAACTTTTGTTTCCTGGTGAAAAGGTCGCAAAAGGGCATCACGAGACTCCTCCACCCCCCCCCCAACCTGGGGACAGGCAACCGTCATAAATACATGCCAATTGGTCAAGTGTCCAAATTTTGAATCACGTGACATGGGGATGCTACAAGTGTCATAAATATGAAAATGGTCAAAAGTTAGGGCCATCGTAACTTTTGAACGGTCACTCAACAAACGACTGTTAAGTCAAGGATTATCTGTAAGTGATCAGCATGTACCACTATTCTATTTTTATGGTGTTGGATTGAAAATGAAGGAAATAAGAACTTGGGGTTTGTTTGTTTTTTGGCATTTCCAATATTCTCAAAAGCAGGATTCAAACTCAGCACTTTTTCAGCCAAGAAGAGTTATATAGTTCCATCTTTCTCCCAGAATGCTTTTCTCAGCCCCTACATTTTCCATCGCCTTCAGGAAATGAAATAAAATCTTATTTCTTTGCAAATTATCGGTATATGGGGGTACCTTGGTCCTCAACTGCTTTGAAACTTATCAAATTTGGTATAAAAGAAAGATAGAACATACAGTATCTTTATTGCCACTTTACAAAAGTAAATCAACATATTTTGATGCAAAAATTGCGTCCCACTACTCATCACTTAGAGGGACGCGGTGGCTCAGTGGCTAAGACGTTGAGCTTGTTGATTAGAAAGGCCAACAGTTTGGCAGTTCGAATCCCTAGCGCTGCGAACGGAGTGAGCTCCCATTACTTATCCCAGCTTCTGCCAACCTAGCAATTCAAAAGCATGTAAAAATGCAAGTAGAAAAATGGGGACCACCTTTGGTGGGAAGGAAACAGCGTTCTGTGCGCCTTCGACATTTAGTCCTGCCGGCCACATGACCATGGAGACGTCTTTGGACAGCGATGGCTCTTTGGCTTTGAAACAGAACTGAGCACCGCCCCCTAGAGTCGGGAACGACAAGCACATTTGCGCAAGGGAAACCTTTACCATTACTCATCATTTGTTTGGTTCTCGACACACAAGCTGGAATCTATCATTGTCAATTGCCTTGTAACTCACTACATTATTCCTTGAGGGGGGGAAATTGGTACTCATTCTGCCTCCAGGAACCAATTAATGATGAATACCGAGATCCGAAGTTACTACAGCAAAAAGAAAGTTACAACTGCAAAAAGGAACTTACGACTGTTTTTCTCACAACCGTTGCAGTTTCCTCGTGGTCACGTGATCAAAATTCAGCCGCTTGGCGACTGACTCACACCTCTGGATAGCTGTTAATGCCTCGGGGGTTGTGTGATCACCTTTTGCGACCTTCTGACACGCAAAGTCAGCGGGGAAGGCAGACTCGCTTAACAACTGTGTTACTAACTTACCAACCGCAGGGATTCACTGGAACGGATTGTGGCAAGAAAGAAAATGGGGCAAAACTCACTTAACGACCATCTTGCTCGGCAACAGAAATTTTACGCTCAATGGTGGCCATAGGCCGAGGACAACCATACGGGATGTTTGGCTGAAACGCAAAACTGAGGGTGGGGGGTGGGAGGGTGGACAGCCACTCCAGCAAAAGGCAAAAGTGAACCACCACTATAACACACCATATGGTATCACGACATCAAATCCGATGAAAAGGGGCATTTTTGATGAGTTTTTTTTTTTTAAATTCAGGTTTGTATCAGGTTTGATAAAAAGGAATTCATTATCTAGAATTCCTTATCCACAGGTTCCCCCTAACTGAATCTCAATTTTTATTTTCTCTTCAAACCAATCTTTTCTCCTACCCAGAAATTGTCCTCTGACAACGCCAGGTTTTTCTGGCCATGATCTCTGTGTATCTTCCCAAGTATTATCCTTCATCGTTTCGCCCGAGAACAAAATAAAACAATATTCCTACCTTATCAGAGCAAAGCCCTTATATTCAAGGATAATATTGCAAAGGCTAAAAGATACAGCAGATGGAGCTGGAAAAGTGAGAATTACAGAAGAACTGAAGAGAAGCCATCGTGAAGCAGCTAATTTCATTAGTGGGCCAAGAACTCCTCACTCAATGTTTCATTAACGTTTCTCAATTCTGTCTCGGAGCCACATAAATATCCATATGCAGGTAGTTCTCGACTTAAAAACGCTTGTTTAGTGACTGTGAAGATACAACGGCACGAAAAAAAGGGTCTTATGACTGCTTTTCAGAGTTACTACTGCTGCAGCGTCCCCATGGTCATGTGATCAAAATTCAGATGCTTAGCACCTGGTTCATATTTATGACGGTTGCAGACGGTTCCCGGGATGATGTGATCTCCTTTTTGCGACAAGCCAAGTCAATGGGGAAGCCAGATTCACTTAACAACCAGGTTACTTAACAACTACAGTGATTTACCATATTTTTTGGAGTATAAGACGCATCTTTTTCCCTCAAAAAAGAGGCTGAAAATCTGGGTGCATCTTATACACTGAATACAGCATTTTATGCCTCCTGAAACCCCGCCCCCTTCCCAAAATGGCCATGCATAGCTTTTAGGAGGCTTTCAGAGACCTCCTGGGGGCTTGGGAGGGCAGAAATGAGTGAAAAAGAGGGTGTTTTTTGTTCAATTTTGCCCCCCCCCCCGCCCCCAGGAGTACTCTATAAGCCTCCTAAAGGCTATGCATGCAATTATTTTGACGAAAAATGGGTCCGTTTTTGCAAAAAACGGGCCATTTTTTGCTCATTTGGGGGGCACCCCCCCCACAGAAACACTCTGCAAGCCCCCTAAAGGCTATTCATGCCCATGGGGGGGGGGGGAAGAAATGGGCCATTTTTGGGAGGTTTGCAGAGTGCAAAAACTTTTTTAAAAAAAAATTGCCTCTTCAAAACCTTGGTGCGTCTTATACTCCGAAAAATACGATACTTAACTACTGTGGCAAGAAAAGTCGTGACAAAACGCACTTAACAAAATATCTCACTGAGCAACATAAATTTTAGACCCAGTTGTGGTCGCAAGTCGAGAGTTACCTATACAGGTCCTGGGCTTACAACCATTTGTTTAGTGATGTTACAATGGAAGAAAAGTGACCTTGTATTGGTTTTTTCACACTTACAACCATTGCAGCAGCAATCCCATGGTCAGGTGATCAAAATTTGGCCACTTAGTGGCTGACTCATTTTTATGATGGTGGCAGCAACCCGGGGTCACATGATCCCGTTCTACGACCTTCTGACAAGCAAAGTCAATAGGGAAGCCACACTTACTTAGCCAACGTGCTACTGCCGTGTTTTCCTGAAAATAAAACAGTGTCTTATTTTCTTTTGACCTCCGAAAAAAGCACTTGGCCTTATTTTCGAGGAGGTCTTATTATTTTTGAGGTGCAGGAGGTGGCGAACGTGGTCACCTCATGGCTGCTGCTGTGTTGCAATATTTTGGGGGGAAGGCTTACTTTAGCGCATGCGCTCAAAAACCTGGTTGGGTTAGGGGAGGACTTATTTTCGGGAAACAGGGTAGCTTAACAACGGCAGTGATCCACTTCCCAACCGTAGAAAGATTGTAAGATTAGGCAAAACTCACTTAGCGACAGAAATTGTAGGGTCAATTGTGGTTGCAAGTCGAGGACTACCTTTTACCTTCAAACCCCCCACTGGAGAGGTTGGCCATCTTAGAGGTGAAAACCCAAGTAGCATCTGCAGGCATGCGTCTGGCGCACTTACCAAAAGTGCCAAATTCTGTAGGGTTGGCTCCGGGGTAAAAGCTGGGGGCGCCAGGTTGAACAGGATACTGCTGCGTCGGGACAACATATGTGTTGCGACCCTAGAAGAGGAGGAGAAATGGAGCAGGTGAACCTTCAAGACTGCATTTAGAAGACAACAAAGCAGGCACCGCTGAACTTAAGTCTCCAACCGTAGCAACATTAGGTCTGTAGGACTTCAACTCCCAGAATTCCCCGGCCGGGAAAGCTTCTGCAGCTCTGACAGGATGGTGGGGAATGGATGGATTTAGACTCCTTGCAGACAGCTGGTCATTTGCATCCTTTTTAGAGGGTCGTTGAGGCCACGTGGAGGCTTATCTGTGCCCTCAGGGTCGCCTGAGTGGTGCAAATGGATGTGGAGTTTTCTTGGAACTGTTGAAAGGACTGTGTTGTAGACTGGAGATAGATGATGTCTATCCTTTCCCCTCTATTGAGAGAGGGCTGTTCAATTTTGACATAGATGGACCCTTTGACCCCGCTTTCAAACCAGCAGTCCTGTCTGTCCAAAATGTGGACTTTGCTGTCTTCGAAAGATGGCCTTTTGTCTTTTGAATGCAGATGGCCTGCTGAACCTACGGATGGGTTTGTTCTCCTGCAAATGACCAGCTGTTTGCAAGAAGTATAATTCCTTCCATTCCCCACCATCCAGTCAGAGTTGAAGAAGCTCCCTGGAGGAGATGCGAAATGTCTTCATAGAAAAACCAGAAAGTCCAGTGGTCTTTTTAAAAAAAAAGCACCTCTGGAACAACAGTGACCGGGATGACTGAGAATCTCCAGAGACATTCCACTCTGCTCCTTTGGCAGGGAGAACACAGGGGACAAAAGCAATGGTGGGATAAGTGTAAGTATAATCTTTATTGTCATTGTACTTAAATACAACGAAATTGGTTTTAACCTCACTGGTGCAAAATTATAACAGAAACAAAAAAAGAAAGAAAAAGAAAAAAAACTAGCGTGTGCATGGAGTGATTGTGGTTGTATTTAAAAGTCTCACAGTCCAAGGACAGAAACTATCTTTAAACCTATTTGTTCGGCTGGCTATACTTTGAGGTCTTCTGCCCGATGGTAGAAGTGCAAAGAGAGACTGACCAGGGTGTGAATCATCTCTGAGTATCTTCCTTACTCTGCTAAAGCAGCGAGATCTGGCAATGTCGTCCAGTGGTGTCAGAGGGCAACCAATGGTTTCTTGTGCCCAATTGATCACTCTCTGTAGTGCCTTCCTGTCCGCAGCTGTTAAAATCAGCATACCATACTGTAACGCAATATGTGAGGACACTTTCTACGGTGGACCGATAGAAAGAGGTCATCAGCCGTTGTTCCACCTGATTTTTTCCGGAGGACTCTTAAGGAAATGAAGTCTCTGTTGGGCCTTTCCAATCACCAAATCACCAATCAAATAATTTAACAATTGGTTCTCTGCCCTAATGACCAGCTGGGTAGGCGGGGATCAGTGGTCATGTGACTGGGTGGGCGTGGCCAACTCAACGTCACTCAGGTCAATGGAGGCTTCCCCTTAGCTGTTACAATGTCATAAGGGTTAACCGGAGAGGCAGTTTCTGCAAGCAGGGCAACAAAGATGAGCTAGAAACAACACCAGAATGTTTCTTTCCTGCCTTCCTTACAGGATTAGCCCTGTAAAGTGGGGAAAAAAAACAAAAGGAGATTTCTTCCAACAATCGGTTCTCCGAACTGCTTAGAAAGTTACCAACTGGTTCTCCCAAACAGTTGCGAACCGGCTGAATCCCACCACTGGACAAAAGGTAATGAACCCTGTGATTTAAGCATCGTTCTTCAATCCCTTCTCCCTGAAAGGAGAGCCGCACCTGAGACTCTCTACCTCTTGTACCGTATCTCATAAGATAATTATGAGGTTCTCCTGCGCGTCTCCGCCAGCATAAAATTTGACCTGCTAGACACACCTCTTGTGATGCTTAGGGTGAGGCCCTCATAAGTACGGGATAACGTGGCCTAGATTAAGAGTTTGGAAGAAGCAAAGAATAGCAGGAGAGGGAAGAGCTCGGGGTGGAGCTGATGGGAACATAGCAAGATTTCATTATAATTTTCACATGGACTAAAGTTTATGTATCATCAATATAAAGCAGGGGTGTCGAAACTTGGGAACTTTTAAGACCTGTGGACTTCAACTCCCAGAATTCCCCAGCCAGCATATATAGGTGGCCTCCATTTTCTAAAATTATGCTTTCCATCTACAGAGCCTGCGTGATTAAAAACATTGCCACTTTGTTTTAAGCTGGTCTAGATGTCACTCGTATTTATTAAGGGACTGAACCGCAATGTTGTGGCCCACCAACAGCCAACAGAGCTGGCAGCAAAGTCGGACAATGAGGAAGTTGGGAAGGAGCAGGGACCGGTCCTGGAGGCTGGGGAAGGCTCGGAGGAGGACTCTGCATTGGAGGTAGGGATGGGGCCAAGGGCGTCTGGCAGTGATCATGTGCCTACAAAGCTAGACAGCAGTGAGACAGAGGAACAGCTGGAGCCTGTTCCCAGCGTGCGCTTGTGCAGAGCTGCCAGAAGAAAAGAATGTCAGAAACCAGGGTCAACTTAGGAGTAAAGCCACAGGTGGATGGTGAATGGCCCCTCCCATAAGGAATAGAAGAGGCACGAAAAGGGTGTGGGCTTTTGCAGGAAACAATTCATTCGTTCGGTCGCTAGATTTGTTTCAGGAGTGTGAAGATCTGTCCGTGAATCTCAGAAACTCTGTGCCCAGTCTTTCCTTGCATAGCATCTCATTTGGGAAATATTTACCTGGCAGCTTTCCAAGATAGATAAGGTCTGTGGCCATAAATAATCCTTTGGAAGACTGTTTGCCAGGCCTTTGCTGAATGTGAATGAGAGGAATTCACATTTGTTTTAATAAAAGGGGTTTGGTCGGGACCAGGACTCTGCCTCGTGCTTTTTGGGGAAGCCTAGGTTCAGAACACACAGGAACTGGCTGCAGTTGAATAGCCTGGGATAGAATCTTGAAGAGACAGAGCCCATGTAATTTCTTGACCTTCAAGAGCAATCAGAAACATGTTCAGGTGTGAACTATTGAGATTAGACGGTAGGTTTGCAAGAGTTCACTTCCTTAACAGGTCATTCCTCAGTCCTGGACAAGCTACGGAAATCAAGCCAAGCTCATTTCCTTTCAAATGGTGCCAAAATAGGTAATTTTTCTTCCAACTGACTTGGGACAGGTAAGAAAAGGAAGGTGGGAGGAGTCGTCCTTTGCTACCAACTCAGGGGGAGAGCTGTGAAATCCCGTAACATAAAATAATCAGCTGACAAGCTGGGTTGCACAAGCAGCTCCGTTAAGTAGGGAGTCAAGTCCCGTCAGGTCACCCCAATCCCTGCTGTTTATTTCCTCGCCCCAAATGCTTTTCTGTGGTCTCTGACTGAGGCCAGCAACACATTCCTACCTTAACAGATAATAGGTTAAGAGAGTTGGAAGGGACCTTGTAGGTCATCTAGTCCAACCCCTCGCTCAAGCAGGAGGCCCCACACCATTTCTGACAGATGGCAGTCCAGTCTCTTCTTGAAAGCCTCCAGTGGTGAAGCTCCCACAACTTCTAGAGGGAACTTCTGGTTCCATGGGTTGATTGTTCTCACTGTCAGAAAGTTCCTCCTTATTTCTAGGTTTGCTTACATCGACAATGTTGACAATTTTTTTCCCGGTGTGTGTTTGTTTTACCAAATAAAAGCTATCTCCCCAGACAAAAGACAACAAAGACTGTAGTGTTACAGGCAGCTGGAGCCACGACTGGGACGCTATCTGTTGACAGGCAGGAGGGCAGACCAGAAAACTTACCCCTCCTCCTTCTTACACCAACCCCAGAGGGAAGGCGAGCTACACACCAGTTCCAAGGAGACGCAGATCGCTTGGGAAAGCACCCACAAGCTCTCCGCCGCTCCACAATGAAGAAGGCCGCAGGCCCGGTCTAACCCTCACCTGTCCAGGGATGTAGTAGGCACCTTGCGAAGCAGGATAGGAGATCTGTGAAGGGATCATCATGACCTGGGAAGCAGCTGGATAAACATGAGTGGGTGGGCCAGGCCGAGCCGACGTGTTACTCTGCACCCGGGAAGCACTGGTCGGTGGCTGGGCCCTGCTCTGGTAGAAATGCTTCAAGAGAGAAAGGAGAGAGGGACGTGCTTAGTTAGTAAGGCCAGGCCTGAGGTATCCCAGCTGCTTCCCCTACTCTAGCTAGCCCCACTGTAGGCCTCCTGAGACTGCGCGTGGCAGGAAATCTGCCCCCGGTAGCCCTCAATTTATGAACACCATCGAGCCCAACGTTTTATGCGAGACATTCGTTGTTTTGCCCCATTTTTCACGATTCTTCTCGGCCAAGCGAAGCACCGCTGGGGTTCAGCGGATCGTTGACTTTGCTCGTCCGAAGGTCGCAAAAGGGGAGGCGGCAACCGTCATCAGTGCGGGTTAGTCGTCAAGCCCCCGGATGTAAATCACGCTGACCGTGGGGATGCTCGCTGCAGCGGTCGCTAAGTGCAAAAAACAAGAGGACATCGCTTTCTTTCCTCCCCCAGTACTGTGGATAACTTCAAAACAGTCATTCAATGAGCGATTCTAAGTCGAGGACTACCTGTACAAGGACAGCCACTGCTGGGAGATTGTCTGAATTTTCAGGATGTACCAATTCGCTCCTGAATGGGTGAAAGCCGAGAAGGATGCAGCAAAAGGCTTGGAGGAAAGGCCATCGGGGTTACGCTTTGCCCAAGTCTTCCGAGAGAAAGGGCCCCCGAGAACAAACTCTCTGTTGACATACTCTCCCCGAAAATAAGACCCAACCGGAAAATAAACCCTGGCATGATTTTTCAGGATGTTCGTAATATAAGCTCTACCCCAAAAACAAGCCCCCATTTAATATAATCAGCCAGATGGACGCAATTAGTACCATATTTCACCCAAAATAAGACCTAACCAGAAAATAAGCCCTTAATGCATCTTTTGAAGCAAATAATAATAATATAAGACCCGGTCTTATTTTTGAAGAAAGACGGTAGTCGTGAATAAGAGGCAGGGAAAGACAAGGCAGAGAGAGAGGAAAAATTAGCTTAGTTTAAGCTTAGTGGCTTATCTCTGTGGACTTTCTATACTGGGCTGCATTTATATAGGTGCCCTTCCCCTAATGGACCGAGTTGTGTAAAGAAGGGGTGTCCGACCTTGGCAACTTGTAGACGTCAACTCCCAGGATTATCCTGGCTGAAAAGCTCTGGGAGTTGAAGTCCACAAGTCTTATAAGTTGCCAAGGTTGGACACCTCTGATGTAAAATAAACCAGATTACCATGGGCGCATGGGGAAAATGCATACAGGTGGTACTCCTCCACTTATATCTATTCGGTTACTTAACCGTTGCATGGTTGAACTTACAATCGTTCAAAGTTACAGCGGCACTGAAAAAACAACAACTTTCTCACACTTACAGCTGTTGCGGCATCCCCATGGTCACCTGATCAAAATTCGGAGACTTAGCAACTGACTTGGATTTATGACGGTTTGCAGCATCCCGGGGTGGTGGTGTGCGCGACCTTCTGACGAGCAATTTGCTGAACAACAGTGCTACTGACTTAACGACTGCAGTGACTCGCTTTAACAACCAGGGCAGGAAAGGTGGTAAAATGGGGCAAAGTTCAATCAACAGCTGTCTTGCTTAGCAACGGGAATGTTGGGCTCAGTGGTGGTCGTACCTCAAGGACTATCTGTCATGCCAATGTTCCTATCCTATAAAGATAGAATTATTTGCCCCTTTCCCCCCATCAGCAAAACGAAGGACCAGAAAATTACAAGTTATATTTAACGGAAGTTGATAATGATACTGTGTTTCCCCAAAAATAAGACAGGGTCTTATTTTCTTTTGACTCCCGAAATAAACACTTGGGCCTTATCATTTTTGAGGTGCAGGAGGTAGCAAGCGTGGTCACCTCATGGCTGCTGCTGTGTTGCAATATTTTCGGGGAGGGCTTATTTTATCATATGCGCTCAAAAGCCCAATTGGGCTTATTATCCAGGGAGGTCTTATTTTTGGAGAAACAGGGTAGGTTATTAAAAACCCTAGAAACGTTTGCCACATTTCAGTCAGCTAGTCATGCAATCAATGTATATAACACTTGAGAAATGTAGGGGCACATTGACATTAAATGCCCTGGGACATAACAGTCGTTTTCTTCAACCTGGTGTCCTGAAAGCCATCTTTTCCCATTTGAATTAATTTTTAACATTGCTTTTCATCATCCTTCTCTCTGTTTAAATTTTAACTGCTCTACACTTTTATTTTTTTCACCTTAGTATTTTAATTGTACACCGCCCGGAGTTCCTCGGGTGAGGATGAGACGGGCCAGTCCCAAAATGTGATAAAATAAATTACGTTTCGAGAATTCCTGGTTAGCATGGGTTAATCTGTGAGTAGGGTTTGAATTGGGGGGAAACCGCTGTAACGCAACACTTAGGGTTGGAGGAGAAGGGGGGGGGGAGAAGAAGAGTGAAAAGACCAAACGAAATAGAGGGAAAGGATGCATTGAGAGAAGTCAGATGTATGTGGAAAGCAAAGGAAGGCCGTTATGAATCACAGGAATTCAGTGACCCATCCCACTTCTCCAGACGTTTATGTAACATGGGACTGGGTTAAAAAAAAAAAAAAAACCACATCACACTAGGACAGAGGTCCCCAATCTTGGCAACTTTTAAGACTTGTGGACTTCAACTCCCAGAATTCCTCAGCCAATCTTGGCAACTTTTAA